CACTATATCCTTGCCAACGAGGGTGCTGAACCATTCCACATTTTCACACATTAGGCCATCCATGGTTAAGTATGTATAAATTATTGTTCACTTTGGAGCCATAAGAGTGTCCATTCTTATATTTTGAAGCAGAGTGGGTGCCCTTCTGTCTCAAAATAGAGGATAAATAGTTTAGTTAGGAGAAGTCTATGGTGTTGTTGAAAAAGAGTGGGTTGAACTTGAAGTTCATTTATCATTTTGCTTTTATTTATTTTTTTTATATATGTTGTGTTGATCATAAGCTAGGGCAATATAACACTCCATTAAGAATTTTTAATCATGATTGAACAATTGTCTTAAGCAGCCAAAACTCGAGGTTGGATTTCAAATGCGAAGAAAAATACAAACAGATAACAATGGTAGAAATAATTTACACAAAGTCAAAGAAAAGGTAGAATATATGACTAACAATGTGCTACTGTCAAATTATTACACGATATAAAATAGATTAAAGTATGTGAGCTCATTACATATAATAAGCTTACATATAATACCAGCTACATTTATGGAATATCTATGTAGGCCTACATGACTATTCAGAACACATAGAATAATTAGGGTATATATAATATACAATATGAGGAACCCATCTAGAATACATTTCATTTTGGAACTCCCCCTAGCAATATGCCCCTTCTACATTGTACCTTTAACCTGCTATAGTTTGAATGTCATATTTTCATAGGCGCTGCCTTCAGCCTATCAATTGCACACCCTCATATATCATGCTGGAATCATGTCCTCAAAAGGCCTGTTTTCATCAGCTCGAGATTGCCAAATATCCCGCTAATTCAACTATCCCGATCGCAAATTAGCCAGTTAATTTGTATCTTCATCAGCCCGAAGTTGCAAGTAGAGGGATATTTGGTCAAGATAATCATCCCAAGATATCTTGGGCTAGTTTGCAAAATATCCCACTATTTGTCCGGTGCGTCTTCACCTGCGCAAACGCTGAACAAAATATGTCGAGCTAATTTCTCAAGCTCGAGTTTCAAGTTTCGTGGTCGAGTCTCGAGCTGATGAAGAGGCGATTTGTAACTTCAGGATTATTTCCCAAATCAGAAATAGCGGGCTATTTGGCAATGTTGAGCTTATGAAGGCAGGCCTCAAAATGGATCCCAGGCTGTCAGCTGGGACGCAGTTCGGCAATTTACACCGGCTTTGTTTTTTGAGTGGTGCTAATTATAGGCAAGGCTGTTTTTCTTCCTGCTTTTAAGGTATGCTGCTGTCTGCTAGTGAGCTAGCTAAATGGCACATCATGGCTTGATTAAAGGTGATAGATGCTAATTTGGGCAAGAGCATGGATTGGTTTAACATGTTTTGTTCTAGGTGCATCAGGAAAGTCTAGCACCCTTTCAGCAGTCTTTTTAACATCCTACAATTTTGTCTCAGTTTGTTGAAAGACTTGGGACAGGCAGTGCCTTGATTTCTCGGGAAAAGGTGTTACATGAATCTAATCGTTATTAGTAGTAGTATCCTTCATAGACACGTTGATGCAGTGTTGACTGCATTAGTGCATTATTTTGTAAAACTTTAGCTAGAGGTTTGAGCCTAAACTTCAATGGATGCTATTGCTGAACTACAAGGTTTGCACCTGCGTATACAAGTCTACGTTATTTTCACTCAAACCGGCCAAATCTTACATAAAGCGGGCTTCACTGTCGGGTACCAGTCGTTTGGAATCAAAAGCTTGTACTCTGTCACAATTGTTTTCTTGAGAATCTCAATTCTACCTTTCATCACTTTACAAAAAAGATAAATGCATTGTTGAAATATCAGGACTTGGTTGTTTGTTTCTGACACATATTTATGTACCTATTACCTTTAATATGGAAGAGTGTGATCTTCATCCATGTACACCCAAGTCACACCAACACGACCTTATTACAATAATAGTGGAGTCTCGTATAGCACTCATATCTGGCACATTGCCACTCTTGGCGTTCCATCATTATTACCCTAGCTTTAGCATGGCTGCCTTTACAGCGCTCAAGCATTTCAAGGAATTTATTCCTGCCAAGTACCCATTTACCTCACCTGGGTAGAGTGTGGCAAGTGTAGATTAATGTCTCGCCAAATGCCATTAATAGTTCAACAGGGACCTACACCAGACTGTCGATAGCCCAAACAAAATATGACAACCCTAAATGGACACAATTAAGTGGTATGGCTAGAGTGCCACAGATGCAAACCAGAGCAAATACCAACCCCTCTCCCTGATCACCATTTAATTGAAAGCCGCCTCTGTTTAAAAGGTTAAGTTCATCAATGTGGATAATTGGTGGCATTCTGATAGTCGAACAAAACGGAAAGGAGAGAAAGGGAGCAAACTAGCTTGATTGATACGACCAGGATAGGTCCCAGACAACTGGAAATGAGCTTCCCATGTGTGGCGGGTGTCAAGTCTGGATGCTGGAATACCAGCACCTCCCAAAACAAATGGTAGCAGACGGAGAAAGCGCAACTATGTCCGACGGCCGACAGCCGCGGTCTTTCCAGACCGTTTAAGAAGCGGGTCAATGGTTTAATGGTGCTGGCCCTTTCATTGCTTGGTCCACTTTCTCTTTTACTTTTTTATCTGTTGATATTAGCTGCTAGAAATCTATTTTTCTATTTTTGTATGAAGATTAATTAGAGTATGCATCATTTGGCCTCAATAATTGATATCTGGTAGCTGCATTGCTTTTGAAATTAGAATATTGTCACCTTGGTGTAAAGAAGAGATAATTAAAGCACTAGTGTGCTGAAATCTAGAATAAGGCTGCTTTCATCCAACCGAAAGAAGAACCCCAAATTGTTGTTACAAAATACAAAGTATTTTCAGAAAGACCATTAGGGTCATGAACTAAATGAAGCATCGCATGATTAGAGTCATAAAGAGATAAGTCATGCTTTTCATTTCTCAATTCTCATGATAACACATAGGGGAATAGTGGTTTGTAGATAGAAGACTGCATATACTCCATATCTTGTAATGATTTACCTCCATGAAAATGACCCTGCCCCCTATGATGATGCGAGAGTTTTATGCACGTTGAAGTTGGTGTCCTAAGTGCGTGAGATGGATAATAGACTATAAATAATCATGAGGATGTGTTTCTTTTGACCAAGAATGACATTGTGATGCTTTACATAAATGTACAGGCATATCCAGCAGAGAATTTCTAGCTTCAAATGTCTCTTATTTTCATATAACTTAGCATGTACAGTTAACATATATATTATTCATACCCTTACCTAGTTTTGTAATTTGTAAAAGTATATGAACAATTAATTTGTCTCAATTTACATTTCTTGATGATGTAACATATTAAAGCTTCCATCTAAAAGTATCAATTTAAGGCCCTAATTCAACCAGTCCAACTTTAATTCTTGAGTCACGAAAATCACCCACCAAAAAACATAAATTTTACCAGAAGCATGAATAATTTGGTTGTTATTAAACTGGACATGTATGCATGCAGGGACTTGAAGGTACATCACTTTAAAGGGATTGGGTATCTTTGTCTCAGATTCTGATACAAAATCCTGGACCCTAAAAAATCCTGGATTTAGCTCATGCTGCAATGATAATTATAAACCGTTAGGTCAGTCAGGAACCCCATGACTTTTACAAGCTGATCGCCTGACAGATTATCAAGATATTTATGATTAGAAATCTAAATTTCAAAATTTGTTTTCCTAACGGTTTTTATAACCAGTAAGTCTATTGGGAAAAATGAGTATGGTAAAACCTGTTACTCAAAGACTTTTTTGATAATTTTGAAGAGCAATTTTTTAGAGCTTCAATATTACACCATATCACAGACACTGATAACACTAAGGGCCATGCATCTCAGATTTGTAAAACTGTGCCTGTTAGGTACATTGTATACCCTGCATGTTGTTGGTCATTGCCCTTATCATCAAGAGTATCTGTACCTTGTGATGATGAGGATGAGATTGAGGATGGTGTCCCTGATGAATGAAGAGGGTCATCAGCTGTTCTAGTGAGGACAGATCCCCAGTAATCGAGGAGGGTCATCTTTAGCTACACACGTGCGTCTGTATGAGAGATGAGATGGAGCAAAAGTCCACTTTGTCCCTGCTCTATCTGTTCATACTGCAACTGTTTGCATTAAAGATAGGATCTCATGGTCCATGTACAGGATGTTTCAGTCCATTTTGTGTTCTTGGAAAGATAAGCAAAATAGAACAGGCCCTGGGGCCTTTATTGAGAAGAAATAATTGATGCCTTGTATCACGAAACATATATCTTATTTTTGCATGTATTAATTTGCTTTTGACAGTCATTTGCAGGACAACAAGTAAAATTGGCCTTCCCTTTATCAATAGTGAATTTGCTTTGCTATCTCTTTTGTGGCCCTGCGTAATGCTGAATCATGAATGGTTCTCTCAAACCTGTTAAAGAATATATGAATTTTAATTCTTTGTTCCACTATAGGAATTACTGTATATATGAATTAGAAGAAAATATAAATAAAATGTAGGATATGCTTTTGTATTAGGCGAGGCATAAAAAATATCGATACCAGCAGGCTGCCGCCTCACGTATTGGCGCATCGAGGCTGCAATTACGGCCGAAGCCTGGCTGGGGCAATTATTTTTCACTTATTAGCCCAGCCGGCTTGCGCCAGGCTGGGATCTGAGGCTTTGTTTCCATTCGAAAGGCGACAGCCGGCGCATGCTTTTGAATGCCATTTCCTACCGCCAGCGGTAGCCGGCTGAGCTAATCTAAAAAATGCAGCCAGGACGCACAAGTGCAGTTAGCTGCCGCTGGCTGGTATATTTATTTTTGACGCCTCGCCTTAGAGATGAGATTCGAACATGGATTTATACATGTATGTAATATAATTTGTTCCTACAGTGTACTTACTTTTGAAACATGAATGGATCCATAATATTTCTTGACAATGTAGTTCATAGATTTTTTCTTCTTCTTTATCTTTCCCTGTACAGGATAAAAGGATTAATACATATCAAGTGATGAACGCAAAGGGAACACCATGGCTGAAGCACCTCCTCTTGTTGCTACCAGGCCTCCGCTCTCGCGCCAAACATCACCCAAACTCTCCCTGTCTCATCCCCCCTCTCCATCACCCTCCCCTCCCCCAGGAGCTCATCAACACCCTCCCGTCTCCCCCACCCCATCCTCGGCCTCCTCCTCAGGCTCCTCCCGCTCGCCGAGGGGCCTCTTGCGCCGCCTCTTCACCGTGATCGGTTCCGAGGTGCGCAACGGCGCCAACAGACCCCGGAGCAAGTCGTCGGGCATCACGGCGCACGAGTACGGGATGTACCGCGATGGGGGAGGGGTGCTGCGCCCGAGGGCAGCCTCCACCCCTGACCCCTTTGGGGGCGGGGTGCCCTCGATTCAAGTGATGGATGAGATACTCTTGGAGGAGGATGGGGGCGGGGTGATGGAGTTTGAGAGGATGAGAGAGGGGAGTGAATGCGGAAGTAGGTAAGTTTATCATTTAATTGCAGGACATCATTATACAAATTTATTATGGTGTAAAGCACTTTCAAGAACTTAATGATGAATGTAATACAATGTCACCCGTAAATCGTTATGGTCACAAGATGGACGGGGGATATGTGCCACGTTACCCTAAATTATGTATTCTTATTTCTTAAGCATTTTCTTTCCCCCCCCCCCCACAACAGATACAAATGCATTCAACATCACGATACATCTAGTTAATATGGATGTGTGTATTGTACTGTAGTCAGTGGCAGGTCCAGGGGAGGGGGAGGGGTGCCTGCCCCTCTTTGCTAAAATTTTCTATACCCCAGGCAGGGCCCTTGAGAGAAATTGGGGGATTTGCCACCAGTAATCTACAATTGCAGACAGAATAATGTACCACGTTATAAATTTATTTTCATCTAATGAAGATCTGAATACACTGTATATTAATTAATTAGCATATGTATGGACATACTTATGATACCTCTAGGAAATAATTTTGGATGTGCCTCTGAGTATACATCATTCCTTACATTATCAGCATCACATGAAAATAAGAATATACAGGTAATGTATGTACATGCATCTCATTGGTATACATGGAAACTTACTAGTACTCCTTATAAAATCTTGGATATACCTCTCAAACTGCACCTGTGCAGGGATTCTATGCATCATTTGATACATTTTACACATTATTCTTATCTGATACAGACATGAATACTGTATTATACGGATAATGTACTGTAGTCTATAATCGCCACTAGATTATGCATCATTGTATTACATCAATGTATTATAATGAAGTTTAGCATAGTCTACAATTGCAAACAGTGTATTCCTCATTGTATTATAATTATTATTCTCATCTAATATGATGAGAAAATCATAAACTGTAGTCTACATTCATAGGCAGTGTATGTATTGTTGTACTGCATTGTACATTATTGTCATCTAATGCAGATATGAACACAGAAAAACAAAAACCATCAACTCAAATAATATTTTTGTTTCTGTTTTCCCCCCAAAATACTCAATTCCCTGTACAGTAAACTAAAATATTCAGTACATGTTAATTTCATAATTCACCCTGTTCATATTCATTGATTCATTTTCAATGGAATATTTGTCCAAAAATGAAACCCTTTCTCCACGTACAGCCATTGCTAGTTTATATTTTCATTGACCTGATTCCTGTTCCTCTTTATTCAACGAGTGTCTTGTGTTCTAAGAGTGCATGTTTTTCCCCTCTTATTTCCTCAATTGTGTATTCATTTTAATAAAATTATATGGCCTTAGTAAAGAGTAACCTAACTAAATATCTGCCAACCCTTTCGAATAATCCGGAATATTTTGATTTTCTGGATTTTTAGAACCTATAAATTTGGAATATTCTGATTTTTTATTATTTTTTAAACTGCATATTGTCAGTTACACTGCCTCTGCATGTTCAAACGCCTATTAAGGGTGCAGATTTCTTATTTTCAAAGGCATACCGTGCTAGAAATTCCTAATTCTTATTTTCAAATGTTGGCAGGTAATTATCATCTGATGAAAGCCAGAATACCTGGTACGGATAAATCTTGATGCACACTCCATGCAACGATATCGACAATTTTAGGGACTTTTTTTCCAGACTACATGATCGAGTTAGGTCATCTGAAATATTCGGACTGGATCGAGTCTGAAGGCATGTAGGTGTGTGTAACCCAAGGTGCGGAGCAGGGTTGCAAGAGGAAAGTAAGACATAGCTCCAGGGCAGGTGTGTCATCGAGGATGCAGCCTGCAAACTTTGACGGACGGTCTCTGTCGATATGCAAATTCTTATTCTCTCTGTGTCTCTCCCTGCTTTTCTTTAAATTATCTATCAAGCTGTCTGAGCCTGCCTGTGGTTATATCTTCCTCTCTCTGTGGCTTTTTTTCTTCAATATCTGTCTGTCTTCCTTCTTTTCTTTTTTTTCCTCACTCTCTTCCTCTCTTTCTCTCTCTCTCTCTTCTTATTTTTTCTCTGTCTCTCAATCTTTCTCTCTCTTTCTTAGTTTTTCTTAATCTCTGTCTCTCTCAGTCTTTTTCTATCTCGGTCTGCTTCCTTGTCTCTCTGCATCACTGCCTCCCCCTTTCTTTCTCTCTCTTCTTGATCTCTTCCTGTCATCCTTTGCCTTCTATGCCTCTCTATCTCTCTTTCATTCTCCTTGTTTCTGTGTCTCTACCTCAATTTTTCTTTATCTCTCGATTTTATCTCCATTTTCTCTTCTCATCTCCACCCATTCTCTCTCTCTCTCTCTCTCTCTCTCTCTCTCTCTCTTTTTCTTCTCTCTGTTTTTTTTCTCTCTCTCCTTCTCTCTCTCACCCTCTCTTCCTCCTTTATCTGTCCTCTCTCTCTCCATCTCTCTCTCTCTCTTGCTTTCTATTTTTCTCCTTTTCTCTCTTTTTTTGTCTATGCACCTCTCTCTCTCTCGCTCTCCTTTCATGTACATAATTTCTTACTGCTCTATTTTGTGTTAAGTATGCAATGTGGCATTAAAATTCATGTGTTTCTACCTGGTTTTCTCTCCGGCACAGTGCGGATTGCAGTAGCGCCCACTCTTCCCAGCATTCTCCTGATGTGAGTGGCGAAGGCCAGAGAAGGAAGAAGAAGAAATGGCTGGATATTTCTTCCGGTGCAATACCCAATCTTTCAAGGTAATCACATTGACAATCATCACTTTACTCTTATATTTTGAAGAAGTCTGTTGTATTATACCTGTATGCATGTGTTAGTTAATTTAAAGGAGTAAAATGCTAATTTGGAAAATCTGTATTGTGCCATTGATTATACCACTAATAATAATATTTCGCTCTTATATAGCACTTAATACATCGATGATGTCTCTAACCGCTTTGCAGATATATTATTACCCCGGCCATCGGATTCAGGCTTGCCCGCACGCAATGTATGCACATTTCCCGTTCCCTGGGGAGGATTCCAGCTAGGCGTCATTTAAGCGCACACTTGCTCATCTAACCACATTCACTTTCGAATCCTACCAGGTACCCATTTAACACCTCGTCGGAGAGTGGCAAATGTAGATTTACTACGGGAAAATAAAGAGCAAGAAAATGAATGCAAAGAATCACAGTGAAACCACTACTTTTTCCAGAATGACAGCCTTTTTAGTGGCAAAAAAACCTTACACCAGTTGCATTAATTCATTGTTGTGTCACTTGTAGTTCAAATTTACAGAATGAAACTTTTGATTTGGACAGGAATGTTTCCAGTTTTATATTGAGATGGAGAAGGAGAAGGGTGTTTTGAAAGTGTAGATGGTCAAACAGTGTACATGTACCTGATGTACATTTACATTCTCAGGTGTTCGTTTGGCAATTCCTATTTTAGCAATATGCACTGCAACCTATCTAGCTTAAGACAATTTATAAATGTCCCTTAATGTGAGCTGTGTCTAAGCATGATAGGTAATTGCCTTCATCTCTACATAGCATATAGTGCAGGCAAATCAAAACACATAATCTTTGATGTAGAACCTGTCTAAGGTTTAATCTGGTTATAAGATACCCTTAATATTTGAGTGTGAATGAGCTCCTTCACTCTCTCCCTGCCTTATAGCCCAGCCTCATCTCAGCCTTGATAAGAGAAAAATGATGGGCTCATTGGGCTGTTATAACCCTGGATGCTTCCATTAGGTGTCTGGGGGGAGGGGGGAGGGGGGGGGTGGAGGAAAGAGATGATGCAAGCAAATTACTAAGAATATCAAAATCTTTTACGTAATACCTTCAAAATATAATCTGGTCATGAGACAACCCTTACTTCTTTAGTCTGAATGAGGTCCTCCATTCTCTTCCCCCCCCCCCCCCTCCCCTTATGGCCCTCATCTCATTCTTGATAAGATCAAACGATGGGCTGTTAGTATACCCTGGATGCTTTCATGTAATATGGGGAAAGAGATGATGCAAACACATTACTAAGCAATTTAATGAACATTAACATCTGTAATGTAGAAAGTCAAAGTCTAATCTGGTCGTGAGACAACCTTACTTTTGTAGTGTGAATGGGTCCACTCTCTCTCTCTCGCCCTTATGGCCCTCATCTCATCCTCGATGAGATCAAACGATGGGCTGTTAGAACACCCTGGATACTTCCATGAAGTCTTTGGGGAGGGGGGTTCGAGACAAGAGATGATGCAAGCACATTGCTAGAAATTCAATGTCTATTCTGGTCATGAAACACCCGTACTTCTGTAGTGTGAATAGGGTCATCCACTCTCAGTCCCCGCCCTTATGGCCCTCATCTCATCCTTAATAAGATCAAACGATGGGCTGTTGATATATGTCCTGGGTGCTTTCATGAGACATGGGGAAAGAGATGATGCAAACACATTACTAAGCAATTTAGTGAACATGACATCAAAATCTTTAACATAAAACCTTCAAAGTCTAATCTGGTCAAAGGACAACCTTAATTTTTTAGTGTGAATGGGGTTATGGCCCTCATCTCATCCTCGATAAGATCAAACGATGGGTTGTTAATATACCCTGGATGCTTCCATGAAGTGTCTCTGGAGGGGAGAGAAAGGAGATAATGGTGATGCTGCTCTGTGAAGTGTTATGGAGTCTATGCCAAGACCCTAGATATGTTATTGATTTATCTATCATGATGGCTGCCTTGTGGCTATGTTGAAATGCTCCTCCTCCTTTGCTCAGCATACATACATGTAAGGATTTTCAATGTACATTTTACCCCTAGACTGAAGACCTTTATATAATTTTAGTAAGCCCCCCCCCCCCCCCCTCCCGACAAAATGTCAATTATTGCTTTAATTTTAGTTGAATTGCATTGCCTGCAACCATTTCCAAATTGCTGTAAAGTTTGTTTCTATCAATGAGTTTGGTTGATGAATAAAGAGAACCCACAATTACCACATGTTGTGCTGTTTCAACCGATAGGCCTCAATCTACTTGGAAAAGAAAACAGAATCTCAGGAACATATCTTTGATTTCTTAAAAAAAATTATTGAACAGCACACATACGTGGAGAAAAGGAAAATCAATGAAAAGTCAAATTTTTTTCTACTATAATCCTGAAAAGGGGGAAAATAGAAAAAAACTACTGCTTGATAATCCATTTGCCGTATAATATGGAAAGATATATTCATTGAATGTTTGTCAATAGAGCTGTAAACATACAAATTACACTCATCGGTCTTTCACAATAGTTTGTATGAACAAGTGTTGCTATGCTGGACAAAGTTCAAGCAGACCCTAAGCAATATCCTATGTCACCAGATATTGTATCTTTAACAAGTTCATTTTTGCCTGTAATAACTATCAGACTTGCTAGTGTGCATGATGTTTCGATGAGGGGGGATCAATAATGAGAATTGTAAAGTTGATATAGCGCCCTCTTGCTTCAAGGGTTTGTCATCATTGGGAGGTTTTGTGTCAATGCAAGGATGGTGAGGAGGATGAAGAATTCCAAAATGTGTGAATAGGGTGACAAGGAAGAGGGAGGGAGAGAGAGAGAGAAAGAGAGAAAAGAAGAGGGAGGGAAAGAGAGAGAGAGAGAGAGAGAGAGAGAGAAAGAAAGAGAGAGAGAGAGAGAGAGAGGGGGGGAGGCAGACAGAGAGGGAGTGAGAAAAGTGATAGAGAAAGTGATGGGAGAGACAAAGTGAGAGACAAAGAGTCAGAATTAACCCATTGCTTCCTGGAACCTGGTGGTCCCTGTGTTAAGCCTATGGGAATTAGATAAATCAGTAGCCAACGGGTTAAGAGAAGTAAGGGGTAATAAGAGAAAGGGTGAGTAATGAGAGTGTCAAAAATATGGGAGAAGTATATCCTCATTTGTTTAAATTCAATGAATATGTTGTAGTTATTATTTTTTCAACATTGCTTGATTCTTGTATACAAATTTGTCTCATCTCTGGGATTTTCTATTTTGTATTCTGAATGAAGATGTAATGAATGATAAAGTGTGTAGTAACATGGATGAACATGTATTGTTCATTTATAATGATGTAACATGAAACTCATTTTATAAAATTTAATTTTTGGCTCACATTCAACCAGGACATAGAAAATTGAGGGAAAAGATAGAAAGGTACATTTTATGAAAGCATAGAAGAATATTGTTACAAAACATATTCTATTTGATGACATGGAGAGAAGATGATGTTACATTGATATTACCAGTACATTTATGTTTTATCACTTTGTACTATTTCATAAATTTCATAAGGTTCATATTCATTGCCCATTTAAAAATAGAAATTTGTGGTATTTACATGATTCTCGTGACAGTACATGTGATGAGTGACGAGCATTATTAAATTGAAATGAACATCTTGTAGTGAAAGTTGATTACACTCTTTGATTAGTCATGGTAATATTGCTTTGACATTTAAAAGTTAAAAGTTGAGCCCCATTTTAGAGCAAATTGTGTAAATTGCTTAAAGCTGCAATATCACTGTAATGAAATAAGTAGGTCAAGAAAAGTGACAGCAAATGAATCCTTGAGAAGAAGACAAATTATTATTTCCATTGATAAAGATGTTTGAATTTCCATGAAGCTTTCTTCATATTCCGTTTTTTAAAGATTTTTTTTAATAACCTTTACGGGGGGGGGGGGGGGGGGGGGGGGGGGGGGGGAGAGAAAAAATATGAGTGAAGATTATCATATTCGTAAGCTCTTTTAATAGTTGCCTGATAGTTGTTATCCCAAGTCACTGGATTCAATTGTGTCTCTTCTGCACTTTACAATGCACATTCCTCACTCTATTGGGGAGTATTCCATCTACTTGCCATATTTCATGCATTTGTGTTCATTGACATTGCATTTATACACCCAGGGTGGAGAGAAGCAATATAGATTAATTGCCTTGAACCTATGTCCTCTGCATCCACAGTTATGTCACCGGTAATTACCCATTAAAATTTAACACATTCAGCAGCACACACCATATAATGCTTATTTTTCAACAATTTTTTTGTTTTGTTGTTAATAATAATTATATTATATATCAAGTGTCCAAATTTTTATTATATGGTATGCATAATGTGCCTGTACATTTATGGCAAAAGCTATATTTAGGACAGTATATCAGAACTGCTGGCAGTTTGGAAAACCTTTAAAAACCATCTTACAAGGCCCAAGACATGCATCAAATTTAATGACAAACGATTCCCTCTAGTTTTAAGTCATCAAGGCATAAAGGATAGTGTTTCGTTGCATGACTTGTAAATGTATTGTTAGTACCAAGTTTCATAACAGTTTGTTACTGCTGTTTTAATTTATTTCATAGTGCATATGTACTATTTAACCCAAAGTCATTTTATATTGTATGACATAAGTTATAACATCTTGACTTCTTAATTGTTATTATTGTATTCTCTTACTCTTTTAATTGGGGTCGAAAGAGCCATTGGAATTAAATCAAATCAAATCAAATCAAATCACGTAAAATCAAATCAAATCAAGTAAAATCAAATCAAATGAGACAAATGCATACCACGTGCTCATAGAATCTCTTGTACATTGAAATATTATTGGAATTCATATTTCATTTTATAATTTCATTGATTGTTCAGATTTTCAATATTTTTCGCTACTAATCTTCATAAAAAAAGTCCCAGCTCCTGTGTGATGTAAAATTCCAACAGCTATCTAATATACACATTTTCCTGCTAATTGAGCCATTTATCTTTTCTGCAATTCTGTATTCTCTATTTTAGGGATCATCTCTCAAAAACATCTCATCATAACAACTGAAATCTTTCCATATAGAATCAGTAAATTTCATGGT